ATTGTTGAAAGGTTAACATTTTAGATTGTGTCTAATCTAAAGTATTATTATTTTTATAATATTTTAAAATACCTCTATTTATTATCGTTCTCTAATATTAAATTAGGCTATTGTACGAGGTAACTACCTCAAGATAGACAAAATGGTTGTCCCTTATTCCTATATGTAATGGGATAAGGGGGAGGTAAGATAGTATAGGTTGAGAGCAGCTTCCGTAGGAGACCTCCGAATTATGAAATGCCCTCCATGAGACTCGATCCCACGACTTCAAGGTTAAGAACCTTGTGCTCTACTTCAAGATAGACAATTTCGTGTAAATGAGTTATCTCGTTTGACACGAAAAGGTCTCTTCATTGACCTTAAGCTACTACCAAACAACACGTTAAATAGCTTTTATTGTTAGTTTGACTATTATCATGATACTACTTTTTCAATATATAATATAAGAGAAATGATATTGATTGTGTTGAATTATTGTTAAACACAATTATAATTTAATTTATTAAATAATTTGCGTGGTTGGAGAAAATGTTGTTTTCTTTTAAATGTTTTAAATTCAAATAATTACATTAGTAGAATATATATGTTATCAATGACTAAGAAAGATTTTAAACAAATACTGCATTATAAATAGAACATGTTCCACTATAAGTTGTAAAATTAACGTAGATGGGGCGTTTTCCCACAATAACGGTATTGGGGCTATTAGAGTTGTTGCGTGTGATCGTCATGGAATAGTTGCTGGGGGACTTGTGCAAAGACTAGAAGAAATCCATTCTACTGAACCGGTCGAGGCTTGTAATTTTATGATAGATCTCAGAATGACTATTGAAAATGGATGGGCGGAGGTGATCATTGAAGGGGATGTCATCATCAATCATCTATCTAGTTCACAGAGAGACATTTCGATGATCAGATTGATGCTCAACGAGCCACGCTTACTTTTGACATGCAATCCAAATTTATTAGTTTCTTATGTTAATCGTGAGGCAAATCCGTTGCCCACTCGCTAGCACATTGGGTTCTCGTCGAGGTTCAATAATTTTTTGTTTGTGTTTGATGTATCAAAGTGTATTATGAAACGATAATCCTTAATGCTATTGATATTTAATCTAATTTAAGCATTTCTTAAAAAAAAAATCTTAACCTAGATGTTGAATGGAATTCAAGAATAACCCCTAGCTTTGTTTTGGATTTAGGAGTCAGTTTTACTAGTATAATTTATAATATATAATAATACATTAATAAGGATATCATTATGTAGTACTATTAATTTAAGAGCATATTAAATACTAATATTATTATATTATATTATATTATATATGTCAATCTCTGGGGTCATAGTTGCTATAATTATTCAAACCAGCTCCCCACAAGGAATTGACCAAAAGCACAAATGGGATGGAACTTTGTGCTTTATTTATGAATTGAGGATGAAGGTAATTCAATATGTTGAATTGAGTTACCTTTCTCCTTACAGAAAGTCACACCAAAGGTGCCATTGTTTTTCAACCCAGAATATCATTTTTCTCAGCAACCAAACATGGCTTGGAAGACAGCCCCTGTGCTGGTTCTGCTGCTGTCATTTTCACTGATTTTGCCTCCGTCTTCATCAGCAAACACTCACTTTGGTAAGTCCACTTAAGACCTTCTTCATAACTTATATGCATGAATAATGATTTGCTTCTGTCATGTGTGTGAATTATACTAATCTTTACACCAGTGTACATAGATGCTCAAAATATTTAAATTTTATTGATTTTGATTCGATTATATAAAATCAGTTTTTGATTAAATCTTATAGGATTATGTGTTTTTTTAAAAATTTGGATTCGAGGTGGATTGAGATAAATTATATGAAGGAGAAAATCGAGATTTGGATAAAGTCGGATTTCGAGTAACGAATTTTTTTATTCAATTTCGTTCGGGTAATAACTTTATTGTCTCTTGTATAGATAGAGATAATTACAATAGAGCCCAATCTCTATGTTTTTTCATTTCTCCTCTTATTGAGAAAAAAAATTATTTATTTTGAGTTGAGTAGACATGTGGACACCAAACATCGAACGGGTCGGGGTCGGACAACCAAAAAATCGACCCTTCATGTACCTATCCCTACTAGTGTAGAACTCATTTAGTTTTGAGTTGATTACATTGTATGTTCTCAAATTATGATTCTCATTTTAAATTGATCCATAAACTTTTAAATGTTTTAATTTTATCTTTAAACTTGGACTATTATTATAAATTAATCCTTAAACTTTTAAATATTTTAATTTCATCCCCAAACTATGATCTTCATTCTAAATTGGTCTCCAAACTTTTTTAACATTCCAATTTCATCTCAAACTATACTCATATACTAATTGCATCCCTTGTTAATAAAATCGTTAGGTTAAGTTATATTATTATATGTTTTAAAAAAATTAGGTTAAATTATGGTTGAAACTAATTACATATCTGGATGAATTTGGGATGAGATTGGAATGTTCAAAAAGTTTGGGGACTAATTTAGAATGAAGATCATAGTTTGGGGATGAAATCAAAATCTTTAAAAGTTTAAGGACTAATTTAGAATGAGAGTCATAGTTTGATGATGAAATTGGAATATTCAAAAGTTTAAGAACCAATTTGAAACAAGGGTTATATTTTGAGGACATATGATGCAATTTACTCTTTAGTTTTACACGTTTTCGTAAAATTTTTAACTTTTAACATTTTAACAATTCCATCATTGAACGTATCAATACATTATGTTTGTAATGAATACTCCTTACTTTGAATTTTGAAAGACTCTAAATCCCAACTTTAATACATAAATTCTTAATCTTACACATATAACACCAAATTTCAAACTTTAATTATGAAATACTTTCCACTATCATTGAATGGAATAATAATCCAAAAAATATTTACTTTTTTGTGCTTTGTTTTTATTTAGGCTTATTGTACAAATCTGATTTTGGAAAAACTCTCATATTGATACACGTGTCGATATATTCGACATAGTCAAAATACAAACATCACTGATACTAAATTACAATTTGAACAGTTATTAAAATATCATGTCCAAATTCAATACGAATTTAAAATTTTCTCGAAAATTAATGTACTAATTTAGGACAAAAGAAATTTAAATACTAAATTGGAAAAACAACCAATTTCATATACCTAATTGTATGACAATTTTGGATTACTATAGGGCAGAAGATGAATGATGGGGTTAAGAGAAATCTAATAGGTGTAGACCCACCAGGAAGACATGGACCTAGTGGTATGGTACCCATTGGTGGTAATAGCAACAAGCAAAAGCTTAATGGAGCAATGGAAATCGACGGTCATAATTAATGGTTAATAAATCTGATCACTTGTGTACTTATATCGTATTTGTATTATGTTATATGAACCAAACGATCTTACCGATTAAATGAACGATTGTTATTCCTAGAAGTTCTGGATTCGACCATCAGCGATTGTATTATATTTGAATATTCATTGTCAAATAGTTAAGAATATTTAAACGCTTATAATTACACTGGATTAATTCAAAAAAACAATAAAGTTATGTTCTTATATACTTTCGTTTGTATCACATTTTAATTGCATTTTTTTGTTTGCACTATAATCAGATAATGTATAAAATTATTAATAATTAGACTCATCAAGTGGTTTCAGCGGACAAAGTAAAGAGAGTACTAATGTTTTTCTAAAGATTCTAAGTTCGAACAATTACGTCTGCAGGATGAATATATTGCCGATGGTTAAAAAAGATTCTAAATAAATACTATTTTATAATTATCTCTTACTATTAAAAAATATTAGTAATTAACACAAATACAATTAGGATTAGATATTCTCAAATTTCAAAACTAATAAGAACAGTAAGGATTAAAACTAAAAAAACTAGAGGAGATAAAACTTAATTTTATTAATATTTAAAAATAAAATGACAAAAAAAACCTTTAATGTTTATTAATTTTTTAATCATGTCTTTAAATTTTCTCTGTCAATTTATACCATAATGTTTTAATTGAGTGATTGTACAATATGAAAAATGCAATTAATTTGGAATATGAAAATTGCAATCAAAATAAAAATTAAACAAAAAAAAGTATGAATTTACGATCTTTCAATTTTATTTATTCTGATTTTATTTTTAAGTACCACCATATTATTGAATTTAGGGAAAAAATCATCAGAGGTCCCCATACTTTTGGGGGGAAATCAATGTATCCTTTATATTATTTTTCTCTCAATGTGGCCTTCCAACTAAGAAAATAAATCAAATGTGGTATTTTAACCAACATTTTTTGTTGTTAACCATTACAATGTTGATATGACAGTTCACTGTACTGATGTGGCGATCTATGATCTTGACATGGCAGTCTACGATGGTTGATAATGTGGCGGATGACATAACATATGGCTAAATTTGTAACTCAAACATGGAAAATGAACTGCCATATCAGTATCGTGGATCGCTGTGTCAGCACCGTGAAATGTCACGCCAGCAACGTAATGGTCAACAACGGAAAAACGTTGGTCAAAGGGTCACATTAGGTTTATTTTCTGAGTTGAAAGGCCGCATTAAGAGAAAAAAAATAATACGAGGACCAAATTATTTTTTTTCAAGAGTACAGAGATCTCATATGTTTTCGCCTTGAATTTATAATTATTAGCATGTATATTACGTAAATGTACTGCTCTAAAATTTCTAATGTCAAAATTTATTTTGATCCGAGTTTGAATTTTAAATTTTAAAATATTCATAAATTTATATTAATATAACTTTTCACATAAATTTATAATTTAGTCTAAAATTTTTGAAATATTAATGAATTTATATTTATATTTATATATATAGTTATTCTAAGAGCCAAACAGTAATTCATTCAATATTGGAGCACCATTTCTGAGACAGATATTTATAATTTAGTCTGTAATTAACCCACTGATGAACATTTGAGTCCCCGGGGTATTTAAAAAAAAAAAAAATCTTCCTAAGAAAACCGAAATACAGTTTTCCGATCAAGCTTGCCGAGATTTCCGATGTGTCGAACAACGATATCCCTACCGGAAACTTCTTGGTTCACGGGCGCATCAGGTTGTTCCGATCTTTTGTGGCTGTTGAACATAGATGCAACAGAGTTAATGATACATTGCATAGGGGGTCTAATAAACCCAAACTTGGTTCGAGTTGCAAGAAACTCGAACTTCCGGTTCAGAAGTTGGTTCGAATTCAATTTGAGATAAAAACCAAACTACTAAAGAATATATTCAAGGGATGCACCTGTGGTTGGCAAAAATTTTCTTTTGGTTATGTAGAACCTTCAGTTAATGAAATGGTAGAATAGCCATTTGGTCCCCCACAGTTTGATAAAAGTGTTGTCTTAACCACAAAATAAAGAGTTTTTAGTTAATAAAATAGAAAATTTTCTCTTTGACTCCCCTAAAAATTTACAATTCAATCCTACCCCTTAATAAAAAAAATGTTGTTTCACCCTTGAATATATTAAAAGTAGAGAAGATTGATGAGGCTTGTAAGTTAGTTGAGAGAAGTATTAGTATCATTGAATTTGGCTTTCTCGAGCTCAACTCGAACATAATCGAGTCAAATTCGAGTTTCATTCGAGATGAGTATGTATCATTTATACCCGTAAATGCACGTACCTTCTTTAAATTGGCCTTATTGCTTGGCACTGCTGGTTTCAATATCTCAAAGGAGCACACAAGAGCTTCATCAATACTCAATAGAGCACCAGCATTGTCAAAATCTCCACCGTAGTTTGGAGCTGAAAATATTGTTACTAATTTCCTATTAGCAAAAAACTCGTACCCATCCTCCACTACCTGCATTCAAAACTTTAGGTTAATTCGAACCCCGAAAAATTCGACGATATGAACTATAACTAGAAGCACTCGTGTCTAACATTCGTTTTCGACAAATGTGAACACTGGTACGAAAATATGAGCCTCCAAGTATATGAAGATTTTTGACAAAAAGTTGAACATAGTCTTATCCTATACTCACACCTGACTCGGAGCTTAGCTTAATCGGTTTATACGATCACCTTTAAGTGGTGATTTACTTGATCCATAAGTATAAAGAACCTGGCTTACTTTTCCCACAAGCATAAAGAAATTGGCTTACTTGGTCCATAAGCTAACTTAGACTTGTTTCATGCTGAAATTCAATACTCAAAAAGAAATTGGCTTTTGAATTCGGAGTTTCGTTCAGTTAGTTTATACAACCATAACCCGGTAAGTTTAGGGTTTGGGTTTAGTTTGCAGTTTAGGGTTCGAGAGAGAGAAAAGAGAGACGACTTACTTGGTGACCACGACAAATAAGATCGAGGTCATTCTTATCCAAGAAGTTAGCGATAATATCAGCACCGAAAGTGCACGAAATGCCTCGATCACTATCTGCCCATCCCTCTACGTTCGGATTAGGGTCGGACCAGAGTAGGTCACATAGAAGACCTCCATCGGGAACTTCCGTCGGCCTCTCAATCTCCTTGATCTGATCCAATTTTTCCAATTCCGGCGACAACCCGCCGTGCATACAAAGCACCTTCTCATCGATGAGTGCAGCCACGGGCAAATGGTTAAAGCAGTTGGTGAAAAGTTTCCAAAGACTGACGTTAAATCTCCTTTTACACTCATCATAAAACCCATAGATCCGGTTCACCTTGGCGTCTTCGTGGTTCCCTCTCAAGAGAAAAATCCGGTCCGGGTATCTAATTTTGTAGGCCAAAAGCAAGCATATTGTCTCCAAGCTTTGCTTGCCCCGGTCTACGTAATCCCCAAGGAACAAATAGTTTGATTCCGGTGGATATCCACCGTACTCGAATACCCTCAATAAATCTTGGTATTGTCCATGAATATCACCTACAAATAAAAACCTTTAATATCAACACATTTGAATAATTACATGTACTATTGAGAATAAAATGTTAACTTTTTCTTTATATTTTACGTACATTTTCGGTTGAATCGAAAATGTTAAAAGATTAACATTCAATTGAAAATGTTTAACTTTTTTAAATATTTTCAGTTAGGTTCATTTCCTGCCGCTGTTTAATCTTACCGTACGATAGAACTTCCCACATAAACCATTGCAATTCAATGCATTTTTGATGAAAAAAAAAAAGGGAGAAAGAAGAAGAAACTAACCACAGATTCGAATGGGAGCACTGATCTGAAGAAGATTAGGCTGAGAAATGAAGATCTGCTTAGCATTAATGCAGAGCTGCCGAATCTCTCCCTCCGAAAGCTTAACCTGTTTCCCTCCTTTCCCCTCCAATAACCTCCGTATTATATCATCCAATACCGCCGTATCCATTACTCCCTCTATCGTCATCATCACAAAGCTACCAAATTTTCCTGGGAAATTATGGATAATCCGACTCGATTTTTGTTTTTTTTTTCAAATAATGTGCGAGGAAAAATGGTTATTTGATGGTTTGTTAAAAGGACTTGAAAGCATTAAGATGGGGAGGAAGAAAGATCGGGGATCAAACGAAGGGAAAGAAATGGATTGAAGAAGATGAAACACATTTAGAGTAATTCATGGAAAATTTGTTGTTGTTACTTTTATTATTTGATTTAGTAAATTTTTGTTAAATATAAATGATTTTTTTTAATCATTTTCGAATTTAAGCTATTACACAAATTTGATTTGAATTGTTCAGCTGCCTTGATCCATTAAATAAGGCAAGCAGTACTATTTATCTGAATTACTCCAATTTTCTCTCATCTTTTTCAATCAGCTGCTCAATGGATTTGAAGGAAAAGAAAAAACAAATTATTCTTCTTTTCATCATCGGATTCATCGTTCTCAAGATCACCGGTAAGAACATTACTGCATTCAATTTGTACAAATTTATAAATGTTCAAATTTGAATCTAAAATTTCATTTGATGCTTTTAAAATTGTCGTGTATATTGTAATCGTTAGATTAAAATATAGGGTAAAGTACACAAATGGTCTCCGATTATAGGATGTTGTTTTATTGGGTCTATTAATTATTAAAAGTTACAAAATGATCCTTCAACTACAGAAAGTCATTTTTTTTAGTTCATCGACTTAAAAGTTATATAACGGTCACTCAACTATTCATATGTTTCAAACTCATCATTTTCTGTTAAAAATGGACAGCCCTCTCAATTGGTTGTTGACCTATTGACTGGGATGCGATAAAATCATATTTTAACGATGTGTATTGGCACCTTCATTTGCTTTCAAGCTTTGACTCGATGACATAATGTTTCGAGCATTAGCTCGATGACATAATAAAAATGGAGACTCGATCCACAAAATACAACTCAAACACCCTATAGTTGGGAGACTATTTGTGTATTTTACCCTAAAGTGTATATATGCATAACCGAGTCAGATCCAACTCATTTGTTTGTATATTATAATAATTTTAAATTTCATATTTAGTACTTAAACTATTAGTTTTGGCCTATTTTAATACCTAAACTTTTAATTTTTTAAAATTATACCTAATATTTAGTTTTTGTTTCGTTATAGTACGTTGCTATTAAAAAATTAATGGGAGATCTGTATGTGGCGTCTTTTTATGGGTAAATTGCATCGTTCATCACTCAATTATCTTCTCAGTCCTATTTTGCTCACAAAAGTTTTAATTTTTTTTATTTTAATTACTTAACTTTCAAATTACTCCTAATTTAATCACTATAACTTTCAATTTTTTTATTTTAAATTATTTATTAATAAAACAATTATAATAATATCATTTCACAAAAAATATTAATAAAATAAATTAGAGTGATTAAAATAGCCGCAATTTGAAAGTCGAGTAGTTAAATTGAATTTTTTTAAACTTTAGTACCAAAATAGGATTGAGAAGATAGTTGAGTGATTAATGATATAATTTACCCATAAAAATGCATTGTTATGTTTTTACGAGGTACTAAAATGAAACAAAAACTAAAAATTAGGTATGATTTTAAAAAATTGAAAGTTTAAATACTAAAACAAATAAAAACTAATAGTTTAAGCACTAAACGTGCAATTTGTCCTATTATAATGGATAGTTATACGAATATATCGATTTACAATTATTTTTACAGAGTATTGAATACTAATCCTTGTCTTACAATTTTTTTTTTCCTTCAAATTCTTTCATGTTGTAGCCGAAAAGTGTAGGGAACTAGCTGGGGAACAAAAAGAGACATTATCCCAAACTGGTAAATTTTCCTGGTTGGATTGTTTTGATTTCGGCACTGGTTCCATTGCCTGTGCAGCCAAACAAGCCGTCACACTTTACGTTTACAACATGAGAAGCGCTCGTGTTGAGAAGGCAAAACTGCTAGCAATGGACAAGGCGTTAAACGATGCGATGTCGCAGGGCGTCCCGTTCAAAGATGCAAAGAAACAAGCCGAGAAGGTCGGTAAAAAGGCGGCCAAGCTGGCGTCGGAACAAACCGATCGCATCACGGGTCCGATCATTACGTCCGGGTGGGACTTCTTCGAAGCCGTTTACTACGGAGGGTCGTTTCCCGAAGGGGCCTTTCGGGGTCAAGGGATGTTGCTCGGTTCATATGGTGGCGGATTTTTTGGTGAGCAATTGTTCGGGAGGTTAGGGTACCTTTTGGGAAGCCAATTCGGGGGTTGGGTGGGTGGCAGGATTGGGTTGATGGTACATGATGTGGCCGTTGGGGTACAATACCTTATTTGGTTCTTTCGGGACGAAGAGTTCCGTCGGAGATTACGAAACTCCGATACATGAAAACTGACAAAATTTCGAAAGATTACAATTCATATGTTTTATGAACATCTTAATACGTATAAGATCAGATTAATTTGAATCAAAAAGGAAATTCTAGTTTTCTAATGTATAATGAGGTCCAATAACACGCAACTCAAACATCATTTATATATATATAAGCAAATATCTTATTCAATCTCATCTTCATCAATTATTTTAAAGAAATTTCTTAAAAATTTATAGTGGGATCTATAATATCTATTATAGTATTTTTGGAACTCGTCACGTGGATATGATGAATTCTAACAAGATATATATTTTTATTGAAACTCATCACATACTCATGATGGTTTCAACAAAACAATATAATAGATTCCATAAATCCCAAAAATATATTTGAAGATGTCCTATTTCATTAATTAATTATTCCACCCGCATTATTTGTTTGATTTTACCTATAAAATGGTTTATTACGAAACGATCTTCCTCGTGTGTGTGTCATTGACGCCAAAGTCCAAAGAAGCATCAATTGAACAGAAGAAAAAAAGAACACAGGAAACATGTATGTGACGAGCAGTCTTTCGAAATATAGGAGGAATCCGGTTGAGGTTCCGGTGACGGTGGCACCGCAGTCGGGTTTAATGGTGTTGAGAGGGGGCGAGAAGCGGCCGAGAAAGAAGAAGTGAAAGGGTTTAACAACAGAGGGTTGTTTAAGAAACTCCCACTGCCTTCAAACGCTGTGTTTTTTCAGCTAGACTTTGATGCAGTGAGAAGGTATTCGTTGTTCATCCCGGTTCTTGGTCAGCCTTTGCCTTCCAATCGCTACTATATCATCCATGGCAATGGAAAATACAAAGGGTAATTCTCACAACCTTCTTTTTTATTTGTTTTTAAGACGGAAAATTGAGTTCGGGATTCGATTCCTATTACCACTTTTAAGAGATAATTATGACATTATTTCTTGATTTAATCGATTTGATTTAAGAAAATTTAAAACCGATTTTAACGGACATGTACATGAAAAAAATACATAATCAATTGTCAGACTTATAAAGATAACCGAAATAACTAAGTCAACTCCATCTTCCAATTCGGTCTTTTCATATAAGCTGCCAAAATTATTTATTTTCGAGTTAATTGTATAAGAGATTTTTAAATTGTGATTTTTTTTAATTTAATTATTAAAATTTTTGAAATATTTTATATCGGTTTGTAGTTTGTAACTCTGTTCTAAATTGATCTTTAAATTGTAAAATGTTCTACGCCAATCTTTAAACTACCAATATATTGCATCTTACTCTTTTCGTTAATGTGTCGTTAATTCTATTTGTTAAAAAATCAAATTATCTTTTAAGATCATGAGAATTGAATCCGTGACATTCTAAAAAAATATTTATCTATCAGTCCTCAAATTATCAATAGCATTCTATTTTAGTTATTTAATTAACATGTTCACTCACCGGATAAAAATTTAATTTGTTTTTAAGATCATGTGAATATTTTAGTAGATCACGAGTTTAATTCTCACGACCTTAAAAAATGTATTGATTTTTTTAATCAATAAAATTAATGTCACTTTAATGAAATAATTAATATAGGATGACAATGATAGTTTGACTATTGATATAGGATATTTTAATATTTATATTTAGAAGAAAAAAAAGACATAATTTGGTGACAAAATATGGAATTAAAATTGGAATAAACTAAAAGTTTAGCCTTTAAACTATTAGTTTTTGTTCGTTTTAATATCTAAACTTTTAATTTTTTTAAAATTATACCTAAAGTTTAGTTTTATTCATTTTACTACCCCATTAAAAACCTAACGTTAGGTTTTGAAAAAAATATTAATAGGAAGTTTTGGGAAAAAAATTGTAGGAAGTTTTTAAAAAATTGAAAGTTTAGGTACTAAAACATATCAAAAGAAATAGTTTAGGTACTAAACATGTTAAATTTTTAACGGCGGAGTATTAAAATAAAACAAAAACTAAACATTATGTATGATTTTGAAAAAATTAAAACTTTGGGCATTAAAACATATAGTTTAGTTACTAAACACATAGTTTACTCTTAAACTAAACCAAACTTAGCATCCCTTGCCTACTCAAAAGCTTTTACGAAACTCAAACAGGTTACCATGCCAGTGTGCAACCGAAGACGACGAGAGTTTATGTTGCTCAGGAAGATTCATACCGGACATGAAACCGAAACCATTTGATCACAGAGATGAATCCCAGCAGTTCGAAATCTGCAGCACAGCCAGAGATTGTTTCATCGCAAAACCCAGCGTTCCTCACGGTTTGCCCCCCAGATTCCTGAGGTTCTGGTTCCGTTAGGAAATAAAAAAGGTGTATCACTTACAAGACGATGCAAAAGGGCTCGACGTCTCGATCCAATCACACGTTCCGGAACTCAGTTCCGGGACGAACGTGATCGTCAGGATATGGTACACGCCTTTCATGTTCGTTAAAGATCATTCTTTGAGAGTACAGATTGAGACGACGTTGTTTTATAACATGACGTTGGAGAGATTGTGGGAGAAAATACATTCATCGGAGAAAAATGATGGGATGTGGAGAAAAGGTGATGTGGCAATGAGTGTTGAGATAGAGAGGGAGGCTGATTTCTTGTTTGGGGTCCAAGTGGTGAGAGGTGGTGGATGTGATTATGAAGGCTTCGTTTAGTTCAGATCTGGTTGAGCTCAGCGGTTCTCGAGGGATGAGGTGGTTGGAGGAGTCGGTAGGGTGGGTCGATGGGGCTAAGGTGGTGGAGATTGGCAGTGATGGTGGCGTCGAAGGTTGTGAGTGTAGGAGATTTGATTGTTATCTGTTGTTAGAGAGGTTTGCTTTGAGAAGAATGGATGGGAGTTTGGTGCTTAATTGTGATTTCAGGCATACACATGAGATCCGACTTAAATGGGAATAAAAATATTTGTTGATAAATAATTAAGTTGGACTCGAAATATGAATCATAAAACATATTTATTATTTCATCTGAGATTATTTATTGAGTACTTTTTTTAATAAATATATTCAAATACATCCTTCTAAAAATCATAAAGTTAAAAAATGACCTTCAATTTCAATGTGTGTGTGTGTATATATATATATATATATGGAATTGACGGCAAAGGGCCAAAGAAGCATCAATTGAAGAAAAGAACCCACAAAACATGTATGTGACGACCACTCTTTCAAATTATAGAAGGAATCCACAGAGGTTCCGGCGGTGGCTGCACCGAGAGGGCTAACACTCGGGTTTAATGGTTGTTGAGAGCGCGAGGAATGGCCGACGAAGAAGGGCAAGGGATTTTCAACAAAGGATTATATAAGAAACTCTCAGTGCCTTCAAACACTATGCTTCTGGATACAGATTTGGATTTGGGGAAGAATTCCTCCTCCATCCCGGTTCTTGAACAATCTTTGTCTTCAAATGGCTACTACTACATAGGGTGGTGATTTCTTGTTTGGGGTCGAAGAATTGAGAGGTAAAGGAAACGCTAATGAAAGGAGGTTCATTTGATTCAGATCGGGCAGAGAGACTGTAAGGCTAAGTTCGGCGGTTTCGGGGGGGATGAGCTGGTTGGAGTCGATAGGGCTGAAAGAGTGGTGATCAGTGTCGCTGGTGGCGGTGGTCACCAAATATACGGATGCTCCCCAACCAACATATCATTATAACAAATAAATTAACATGAATGATAAACCAGATGCTGCATTTCTAGACACAAGATATCTAGCTCTACAATGTTTTCTCACAAAGACAATGCCTCCTACTTTTTGGCCACAAAACAATCAATCTTAGTGTGCTCGTACAAAGCTCGAATTTTTCATTATTTTTAGAATTGCGTTATCGGATGTCCGACTCTTCAGCGGATATGCAATCCAAATCAAAAAAGAAAAACACATCGGGGTCCTATCGAACTTATGCCTACTCTCTGGGACAAACTTCTACAATAAAATTGCAATGTCACACATTCGTAACAGCATACCTCAAAAACATTTAGTTGTGGTTTGCTCCCACCAGTGCAATATGCTCGATTAGGTCAAGTACACGGTTGCTGTAAAGGAATTTCAAGAAAGAACCATCAGAAAAATAACCAGTGTCTCAGTTTGGTCAAGTATGCATGTGCACGAGCCGGTGAAAGAGAGAAATAGATGTACTGATGTGTCTAAAGAAGTGAGCAAGAGATAGAGCTTGAAACATACCTGTAACCCCATTCATTGTCATACCACGAAACAAGCTTCATGAAAGACTTACTTATCCCTATTCCGGCTTTGGAATCAAAAATGCTAGATCTGGGATGGGAAAACAAGCTCGGTTTAGAACAGTATGATACACCAGCAATCATTATGCAATTGTCAGGGAAAGATAAATAAATAACTAAATGGCCCCTTTTTTTCGAAAAGGGAACACTATAAGCGGCACACGGTTGACAAACACACTAGGACTTTTCAGGCCTAAATTATACTCGAAATGCCTGTAAACCTCCATTCATCGTATGACGTAGACGATATATCATGTCACAGCAAAAGGAATGTTGGAAAGAGAGAGAAAGAAAGAAAGATTACCTTGAATCACCAACAAAATCGTTGGAGACAACATCCTCATCTGTATATCCAAGAATGCCTTTAAGTGGCCCCTCGGCAGCATACCTTCATTTAGAAGTTAATTTAGAGTTCCAATGCATGAGAAATACACTAGATTAACGAGGGCGAAAAAAAGAGAAATCTAGAAAGAAAAAACAAAAGCAGGAATGAATGATGAAGAGAGGGGACCACAAGATGATACGCAATCCCAAAATAGAAAACTCACTTTACTGCTACTTTGACATCTTCATAGGTGGCACTCTTCTGAAGTCGGCAAGTTAAATCCACAACAGAAACATTGGGTGTAGGGACTCGGAATGCCATTCCAGTAAGCTTTCCATTAAGTTCAGGAAGAACTTTTCCAACAGCCTACAACAAAAACACAGAAATCATAAATTGATTTTAAAACCATGGTAAACGGAATAAATTTGGCTATTTCTCGCTCATACCTTCGCCGCACCAGTTGAACTAGGGATGATATTTTGGCCAGCTCCTCGACCTCCTCGCCAATCCTTCATTGAAGGGCCATCAACAGTCTTTTGAGTTGCTGGATGTTAAAAAACACATTAACATAAAATGCAGTACCATGTGCAACGAAAAAAATTACAGGCAGATAATGACTGGATACCTGTAGTTGCATGGACAGTAGTCATTAAACCCTCAACGATACCAAATTCCTCATGGACAACCTGCAACATGTTACACTACAAAAATTGAGGAAAACTGCCAAAGAAAAGGAAGAAAAGCAAACCAGATGCTTCATGAGGAAAATGGACATATTAATTAATACTGTAAAATACTGGCAAATAGAATTGCCATCTGCTACGAACTCAAACATACAAAAGCAAAATCTTAGACAGTGCATGTCCTACTAAGTGACTGCTACCTCAATAAAAAAAATGGGAGAGAAGACTTTAGTTTAAATGCTCTCTTTAGTGATGAGATTAATATGCTTAAAATTGGAGGATGCAACTAGACCTTGGCAAGTGGAGCTAGACAATTGGTAGTGCAACTAGCATTAGAAACTATGTCCATGCTTGGCTGGTAGGTCTTCTCATTCACTCCCACCACAAACATTGGTGCATCCGCTGAAGGAGCTGAAATTACAACTTTCTTGGCACCACCCTGCAAAACAGTAATGAAAGATTAATTTGGAGAATATTCAGATGTGCATGAACTGACAGGTGTGCTTCTGCAATGTGATGACAGCGAACCAATATTTACTAACCTTTATATGTGCTGAAGCCTTCGCTAATGTGGTGAAAACACCAGATGACTCAACAACAAACTCAGCCCCATAATCACCCCAAGGGATCTCTGCAGGGTCCCTGGTGGACATTACTTATATGTTATTCCAAGCTGAGATAGTTTGCTAGCAATTTTTAACAAAACCAAATAACAGAATTTCATCTTGTAATTTGTATATTTTATTCCACGAGAATAACACATTCCAGAGAAGGTAGTTCAAATCCCATTCAACCTTTCAAGGACTAAATCTCCAGAATGTTACCTTTTGCTCACAACATGTATTTGCTTGCCATTAATTTCCAAGGTGGACTCATCCACAACGTTGATCGTCCCCTTGAAGGGTCCATGAGTTGAATCATATTTAAACATATAAGCCTGGATAATAATAGTAAAAAAAAAAATTAAGATACTGCACATGATAAGAATTGTAGACATCTTTGATAAACCTGGCCAAACAAAATAAGTAACACAAGGCTAAAAACCAAATCTAAAAGTGCAGATGGACACACTCACCATGTACTGAGCATTAATAAAAGGATCATTGACCGCAACCACATCAATATCATCCCTTGAAGTTGCTATTCGTAAAACCAACCTTCCAATCCGACCAAAACCTGCAAAGGTTCATTCCAAAAAAAAAAAAAAAGAGTTTAGCAAAATAGGATACGTCAAGCTACATAGAGAACCAGTGACTTGAATCAAGGTAAATCTCCTTGGTTTAGCACCGTAGGTCTTAAAAACAATTTCTTTAACAGAATTCTTATTCTCGCCCATGCTAGTCCACATGCTTAACAGGCCCATCCAACAATATCCCAAAAATGTTTTTAGCTCCACCTACCTCAAAATGACATAATAGACCAAAAACAACTGAACTAAAGGTCAAAATACATTAACGACGGGCTAATATTATGCATGAAGAATGAACGGCAGTTCTCCACAGCCTTTTGTCCCAGGAAAGATTGGGTATCACAAGCCTAAGATACCAACCCAAACCTCGATTCACGGTACCACACTTACCACATGAGATAAGCATGGGATGCTATTCCTTTTCTATTTTACAAGCATAATCGCAAGTCTTAACAACTCAAATGTGCACGATAACTGAATAGAAATAATTTCTATGTTGATTAAAGAAATGCCATGGCAGATATGCATAAAACCGTCAAATAAAGCAGAGGAAACCTTAAATCAAATTAACAGAACATACCATTGATTCCAATCTTCGTTTTCCCACTGCTCCGTGACTCTAGACAAATTAGTAAACAAGACAAAAGCAGAACATCAGTTCATACAGCTTCTGAACTATGATCAAAATAATTAAATAAGTCCTTGTTATCCTTATTACGCTTCTCAGGGGTTAAAAAAAATTAACAATTCTTACTCGGAATTGTAGGAGGAATTTCAGTAGCGGTGGCTTTGATGGGTCGGATACTCCTTGAGTTGCAGCTTCTAAATAAATAAAAAAAGTATCAGAGGAGAGGGAAAAGTCCAAAAACTTGCACAATAAATAAAAACAAAAACTGAACGGCCAATGGTGATAACTCAACTGTAAGGAAGAGGATCTATTTGAAACTGCAACACCAAAAAAGGAGTTGGAATTTCCACCAAATTCAATGCTTGAAACCTAAATAATATCGCATTAACATTCAGATTGTCAATAAAAAGTGCATTGAAATTGCCACCTAACATTAAAATATCAACCAAAAAATAAATTTAAGTTAAATAAAAAAATAATTTACACGAGTATTCAGAATTTCATAAATTCATCAACATAACGAAAACGAGTTAACAAACAAGGCTCAGTCATCAAACAAAACGAAACATAAATCAGTAAAAATATCAACATCTAC